CTGGCCCCCGCCAGCCATTCTCCAATGGGGAGGGCGTGCCCTCGATGCTAGCCACGCCTATACATCGGGAGGCCGCGCGGTCCTAGCACCCGACTTGTACTGTCGGGCTTAGGAGCCCGGGACTGTGGTGTGGCCATGGCCACCATCCGTAGATGGCGGGAGAAGAGACGACGACACCTCTGCCCACCCGCTCCAGGCCCGCGCCGCGCCATCCTGCCCGTAGCTTGACCAAGCTAACGAGGACTGGGGAGGACCGGAGTGGCTCTGGTGCCCTCCCGCCACAGAGACCAATGGGATGTGGACGGTAGGTATTAGCTGTAATTAATTAGTGGCTAACGAGAATAATGGAGGTAATGATCCTAATCACACCACTGGCTTTTAATGAGCGCTGCAGCATGCCAAGCGCCCCACGTGGTGAGGCAGGTCTCACAGCTGAGCAGCAGGCCTGGGCTGGAGAAACATGGGGAGGGCGAGGCGCAGGTGCAGGTGCGCCAGGTGCGTGACTGTCAGGTGACTGTCAGGCCTGGGTCCCTCCGGGCGGGCGCGGTCACAGACTGCAGGGTTTGGAGTTCCTCCAGCGGTGGGTGCCGCTGTCTCACCCGAGGACTTCTTTCCGCTTTTAAACATTGCCGGGGGCGTGAATGCGCCAGAGAGACAGACAGGGAGGAGAGGCACCCACACAGGGCACGGTCACCCCCAGTCCCTTCTCCATTTCTCATCTTGTCTGGGTTTGGGGCACATACACGTCGGGGCCCTGCAGTTTTTGCTGCTTTGTTTGAATGGCATGTGTGCCTGCTAGAGACAGGAAGTGAGAGAGCACCTGGGCTGGGAGGGGGGGGCACGCCTCAGTCCTCCTCCCAGGTCTCTTTTCTGCACTCTGGGCATGCCCGCACACACGCCCCTGGGTTTTTTAAAATATTTATTTATTTATTCTTTTATTTTGATTTGACCAGAGAGAGAGACACACACACACACACAGAGAAAGTGAGAAAGCAAGCCACCAGGTCGAGGACTCGAACTATGCCACCTGCTGACCCGCACACGCCCATGTATTTTCCAAGCCCCTGGGTCTGGGACTCGAGCCCCACAGTCGGTCATGTGGGATCCAGCACCTCTGTCACCACCTGCTAGCCTCCCTGACTGGTTTTCAAGCCTTCCTGGGATTCGAACTGTGGTTGGCCATGTTGCTCTAGCGCCCTTGGCCAGGCTGGCCCCCCCACACTCAGTGGCGGTATGGAACGTCAGCCTGGAGTCCGAATCCTGGAATGCAGAAGCAGCCCACCTCCTCCCGGCTGCTCACCCCAGACAGCTCCTTCCACCTCCGGGCCTCACCTCCCCAGCCCTGGGCGTGAGCACCGTGTGCATGAACAACCGTGTGCATGAGCTAGCCGTGCTAGTGGTCGGTTCCCACCCTTCTCGGCCCCTCCTGCCCCATCAGGTGTCCCTCTGGGTTCCCGGAGTTCCCTGGGCTGACCCTCACCACTCAGGTGTGCTGACCACCCCCATCCCCAGCCAAAACTGTGGACCTCTCCCCAGCTGGATCCCGTCCACGGCAAGGACTTCTCAGCCATCTCAGCTCCCGAGTTGCCTCCAGAGACAGAGGAGGGGCTAGAGCAACACCTGCGCACGGGCTGGATGGCCACACGCTGCTAACACGCCGCCTTCACGGGGCTGAGCCGCAGGGGAAGGTCCCCTGTTCGAGGCCAGAGACCTCCCTGCTACACAGAGCATGCACCCGTCCAGACCGGCTGAGGCTGGGGGTGGGTCCTGGCATCGCGGTGTTGCTGGGTGTTCTCTTTGTCTCTCTCTCAGGGAAGAAATAACGAAATAAACTCAAAAAAGATAAAGACCAGTCGAATGGAAGTACAGGCAGAGAGTCAGAACTGCTGAGGAAGGAGCAGACAAGGTCCCGCTTAAACCCGAGGCTCAGGCAGCCCAAGGGTGCGAAGCCCAAGGAGACTGGGAGGCGCCGGCCGTGGAGCTCAGCTCAGATCATCTCTGGGGGGTGGGAGATGGGAGATAACTAGACCGCCTGCGAGCAGATAGAGGAAGGCTGAGCGATAAGAAACCTCAATGCCTGCCTCCTGCACACCCCTGCACTCCGAGGGAAACAGCAGCTGAGAACAGCGAGGCTCTTGAAGACGGCCATGAAAGGTCTCATTCATGTCGTCAAGAGCTGCTTAATGTTATTGATTTTTTGCACCAGAATGAACTCGTACTTCGATCCCCCTCTCCTTTAACATTTCCGAGTCCCTGCATGCTAACTTAAGCTTTCTTTCCTTTTCTTTTTTTTTTTTTAGATTTTTGCCACGGGGCACGTGCGCTCACTGGAGAGAGAGAGAGAGAAATCACCCCCATCATCGGGGCGGCCCTTCCACAATCCCTCCTCCTCCACTCTCCTCTCAGGATTTTGGGCATGCGCACACACCCAGCATGATCAAGCCACAGGGTTCGAGACTTGGGCCACGGGCAGCATGTGTAACCCACTGCCTTAACCTCCTCACTCCCCGCTGGCCCTAGCGTAAGCTTGAACATTTATTTAATTTTATTTAATTATTATTATTCTTTTAAAATATTTTTAGAATTTATTTTTAATCATTATTTTATGTATTATTATTTTTAATTTGACCAGAAAGAGGCAGAGAAAGAGAGAGAGAGAGAAAGGGAAAGTGAGAAAGCAAGCTGCCAGGCCCAGGACTCGAACCACGGTCGGCCATGTGGGAGTCCAGCGCCTTAACCACCACGCCCCCTGCCGGCCTCTTCATGTCAGTTTGCTGTCTCCTGTTATCCCACCACCTCCTTCACGCCCGCTTTACAGGTGAGACCACTGAGGCTTGGACAGAAGTCGCTTACAGGAGAAGCAGGGACCAAGATGCAGACTCAGGATTTGAACTCGGCTCCTAGTGAGCGCCAATATCGTAGGCTCCTTATCTACTGGCAGGGGAGGACCCTCTCGCAGATGCAGGAGCAGGACGGCCACCGTCCTCTTTCCTCAGCCTCCCTTCCGGAGCAATCCTGGCCACCCTTTGAGACAGATCAGGCAGGCAGAGAAGGAGGTGCCTGATGGAAGCACCCACCGGCTCAGGGCCCTTTTGGAGCCGTTAACATTTCCCATCCCTGGGGCTGGCAGTTAGGGCGCTGGACTCCCACATGGTCGACCATGGTTCAAGTCCCAGACCTGGCTGCTTGCTTTCTCCCTTTCCCTCTCTCTTTCTCTGGTGAAAATAAAATAATAACAACAATAATAAATATAGATAGATAGATATCTCCTGGCCCTGACTTTAGGAGAAAGAACGGGGGTGCCAGCAGGTGGCGTGGTAGTTAAGGTGCTGGGTCCCCACATGGTCGACCACAGTTTGAGTCCTGGACCTGTCAGCTTTAAAATCACAACAAATAATAGCTAAATAAATGATGAAATGGAAAGATACGCATACATATATAAAAGAAAACGACAGAAAGGACAGAGGACAAGGGTGACCTGTCCCTGGGACCCAGCTCACTCACCCAGTCGGGGGATCTGCGTACTGCCGAGGAGCCCTACCCGGCTGCGGGCGGGGGCTGGGGCTGGGGCTGGAGGAGCAGAGCAGGGACTTGCCCCGAGGGCTCTCGGGAGCCATGCTAGGCTTCTGAGAGAGGGGGGCTGCGCCAGATG